TCATCCGCTATAATGACGACATTCAATGTTTTGGAGCCAGGGACAGGAAGGGAAATGACTTAACTGCAAAGTTTTTTAGCTACTGTACTGAGCTCAAAAGAGAGAGAGAGGTTGAAAGAGTTCCATTGTGATTATTTTCTTTTACATCTCACAATAATTGTAGCATTTTCCTCATAGAAAGAAGAAATTCATCCATTTATTTGGACTCAAACTGCACGAAAAAGGGATCCCACTTGAATATTATGAAGAATGTCCTAACAGTAAGATCTATTGACAGTGGAATATGCTGCCTAGGAGTATGTGGTGTCTCCTTCTCTGGTGGTTTTTAAGCAGAGGCTGGATGGTCATCTGTCAGGAGTGCTTTGATTGTGTTCTCTGCACAAGCAGGGAGTTGGACTAGGTGTACCATGTGTCTTTTCCAACTCTATGATTATATATTTAAAACAAAGCCATTTAGGACTTTGTACACAGAAACCACATGTGTTCCAACAGACGTTCTGTAGAGTCCCACAAGAGTGCTACCAAAGGAAATATTTTTTTCCATGGTTGGTACGATCCTGCTCAGATGCGAGTCTGGTTAAGAAGAGCGGCCTGTATACATTTGGACCATCACAGGCCCAACTCACCATTAAACAAAGGGATTTTTTGTTTTTATGGTAAAAGTAGAGCTTGGGAAAGTTAGTTTTTGAACTACAACATTTCGAATTCTCCAGCCAGCATTGGGTTCTAGTCTAAAATTTCTCCTTTTCCAAAAGTAAAATGTGCAGCGGCTTCAGAAAACAAAAATGTAAAGACTCATTTGTTTGGGCCACTAATATGCCATAATGTCAAGTTTTTGTTAAGATCTAGGACAGGCATGGGCAAACTAAGGCCCGCGGGTTGGGTGTTTACCTGAGTCCCTCCTCCTTTTCCTTGTCCTCTTGGCATAAGGACACAGTGACCCATCATATCCCTATGCCAAAAAGATGAAGGCCTGTAGCAGCTGTAGGCCCATTGGAGCACTCTCAGCCACCATGTGTCGGCAGAGGGACGTTGCCAGCAAACCCATACTTGTGCCAGGAGAATGGCTTAAGGAAGGCACGCAGTGGCTGAGAGCCCTCTAGAGTACTCTCAGATGAAATGTGTCTCATCCTCCTCCCAGCATAACGCCACGAGGACAGCCTGAGGATTGGAGGAGGAGGGTGAGAAGGAGGATTGGGGTAGTCGCTGCATGTACCGCCTCCTCCCAGCATAAGGATGGGACGAGCAGCCCCGTCCTTAGGCTGGGAAGACAATCTGAAGATGACCTGGGTCCTGCCCTGCCCCCTCCTAGCCTTGTCCTTTTTCAGGCCCTCCCCACCCAGTGTGTGTCCGGCCCCCTTCCCTCCTCATCCAGCCCTCCTGGCCGGGCCCACAATGTGGCCCCAAGGCAAACAAGTCTACCCATGCCTGATCTAGAAGCATGCTATAGATTCTGGTGTCTCTTTTCTCTCCTCCTGAGTTGGCATTTATCTCTTTTCACTTCAGGGGTTAATTGCAGTCTGCATTACCTTGCAATGTATTTGTACTAACTACAGTTAGCCAAAATGAAATTTTGCAATGTTTTTTAAAACCAGTTTTTAATTACAGTTAGCAAAAAATGATAGTAGAGCTTTAGCCAAAGTTGAGTCCTAAAACTAAAAGGATAAGAATATTCATGTGAAAAAAATGATGGAGAGAAGGCAGAGCACAGAGGAGTGGCAATACTGGCTGATGAAATCTTGTGAGTTATAATACAAAGAAAGTAACTTTTCCAAGCTGTGAATAAAGTCTGTAGTGTGATCTTAATCTATGCTAAATGAATCAAGCATTAATGTTTTCACTGAGCAACTGACTCAGAATGTTTCTGAATAAATCCTAGTCACTTCCTCACACAAACCAGGCTGATTCAAAATGCAACTCACTTTACACATGATAACGATGACAAACATCCCCGATGACTACATGTCCACCAGCAAAATGAACAAACTAGGCTGATCTTTTGACATCTAACAGACAGAAAGATGGACATTGGCAGAACAAATCTTGAGGTCAGAACCTGATTCATTACCCTCTATTTTAAGAAAGAGCCTTTCCAGCTGGCAAATTGAAACCCTGGCCTGTGCAAAGGTGGCTTCCTGAGACAGAAATAAAAAGTCAATACAATAGAAGATGGTTAGCCACAATGTTGCTTGCCTTTCCTATCCAGTTGCTAAAGTGCTGCAGCTGGGGGTGTTTACTGTAATTGAGCAAGTGCTTTGTCACCACCAGAGAGCAAGCACCACTTCGGGAGTGTTTTAGACCCCATTTTCAGTTCCAGGTTGAACATCTCACTGATTCCTCCATTTCTTTTGCAAGCATGACTTAACCCTGCAGGGAACTGAAAATGTATTTGAAGAATGCACTTTTGAACACCCAAGTGGTCTCCCCAGATCACTCAGGCACTAAAGTGTCTTCCTAGCTTGGGATTGCTAGTGCCTCTGTCTTCATTTAGGCTGACTTGATATGCTTTCTATGTTTCCAGAGCTGGGTATTGCATGAGTATTGTAATCCTTTGGGGTGACAAAACTGAAATATAAATGCACTTTGTAGATTATAAGGGTAAGAATGATGGGCAATAGCCATTGAGTTCAATCACATAACTGAGGAGTTGTAAATCCCAGTTTGTCTGGTAAGAGTAGATTGATAGTGATAAACCTTTGTTTGCCTTTTCATTTAGGCAGGCTTTTAAAGAAGGAGATTTTGAAGATTTAATCAGAAGGTGCTGTTGTTTTACCTAATCTGTCTGAATGTATCTCTCCTAGTGAACCATCTAGGAGCTTAAGATCACTTGGGGAGGTCCTACTCTTGGTCCTGCCTTCTTTGCAGATGTGACTGGCAAGGATGAGAGACAGGGCCTTCTCAGTGGTGACCCCTCAGCTATGGAACTCCCTTCCTAGGGATTTTAGATCAGCCCCCTTCATCCTGACCTTCTGTAAAAAAAAGTGAAAACATGGCTTTTTGAGCAAGTCTTTGGAAACCTAGTGCAATAGATAAACACAGAATTATGTGAAATTGAATATTGGAACGGCTCAGACTATGACTTTGGACAATCGAGGTTAACAGTGAAGGTATTGGTTTTACAAGTTTTAAGGGTCAATGTATGTATTTTATAATTCTGTTTCAAATGTGGTTTTAATTGTATATTGTTAAGACATCAATGGCTGCCTGATTGTGAGCCGCCTTGAGTCACCTTCGGGTTTGACAAAGGCAGGGTAGAAATGTTGTAAATAAATAAGTAAACAATCAATTAGTTTTGAATATGCTTTAAAGGATAGTCTCTGTTTATTTTAATACCATTAATTTTTAATTCTGTTTTAATGTTTGGATATTTTTAGGTTTTAAATTCTATTGCATTTGGTTTTACTGGAAGCTGCTTTGAGTCTCTTTTGTAGAGAGAGAAAGCAGGATATAAATAAACATCATTATCATCACCATCATTTCTTAGTCACTGTCACTAACTCAAGTCATTTGTCAATTGTTTCATGTCTAAATGTGTTTTTTATAACTAGTCAGCGTATATCCAATGATTCAGTTTCCATGAATTCAACCATCTATGGCTATAATGTTTTTTAAAAATCCAAAAAGCAAACCTAGATTTGCCATTTTATGTAAGGAACAATATGAAGAAAAGAAGGCTGAGAGGAGACATGATGGCCATATATTAATAAGTGAGGGGAAGTCATAGGAAGGAGGGAGCAAGTAATGCCCTGGAGACTAGGATGCGGAACAATGACTTCAAACTACAGGAAAGGAGATTCCAACTGAGCATTAGGAAAAAAAATCCTGACTGTGGCAGCTGTTCAGCAGTGGAACTCTCTGCCCCAGTGTGGTGGAGGCTCCTTCTTTGGAGGCTTTTAAGCAGAGGCTGGATGGCCATCTGTCAAGAGTGTTTTGAATGGATTTTCCTGCTTCTTGGCAGGGGATTAGACTGGATGGCCCACGAGGTCTCTTCCAACTCTATGATTCTATGAATACCATTTTACTACTCCATTGCATATAATGAAACCTGAGGTTCAACACATTATAGATTTGGATTTCTGTGAGGGACATTACAGGAAACTAACTCTTTGTAACACATGACAATTATCAGCCAGGTTTCTTACAGTATGCAAACATTGTAATTTACAGGAAAAAAAATTCACAATTTCCTTCAGAGATGGCCCTCCCAGGGTGAAAATCAATAATTTGTTTAAGTGGACCATGATTCTCAACTCATTGCAATTTCAATAGTAGATGGTAGTGACTTACTGACAGAAAAGAACAACTGCTAATCTTTACAGTTCAATATTTTGTTATGTAACTCAGAGGATCATCAATAGGAAAAAATATTCTGTTTGAGTCCCTCACATATAATATTACTCTTTTTTCTTTTCTATTTTTCTAAAAGGAAATGGAATTCCAATCAAGATACATATTTGCTGCTATTAATATTAAAAAGAGTCTCTTTTCCTCCAAAAGAAACAATGGGACTAAAAGTAATGGAAGGAAAAGAGCCTCTCATTCATTATGCATTATATTTAAGTGACTATGAATCATTCATATCTACAGAATCCTACAAAACCTCTGCCCTTAAGACTATCCACAAAGCTTTTGGGGCCATCCAACACCAAAATCTTGGTCCATGTGCCTGGTCCAGACATAACACTAACACTTTCCAAAACTTGATTTACAGTTCAGGAGACAGCCCTCTTCCACTTTCCTGTGAAAATGCCTATTCTCTTGACTTGTTGTTCTGGATCATGTGTTACTATTCTTTCTCTGTTAACATATATAAGGTTAGTTAAACCTGATAAGAGAAATGAGATAATATCTGGGGCAAGAGAAGGGCAGATGAAGTGGGAAGGAACTCTCTACCTTGAGTTTGGATACGTAAAATATAAGCATTATGTCTACATTGGGCCCAAGTAACGTAAGTTGTCAATGGTGGGCAGAGGGGTGGTTAGAGGACTTTGGATACATACCCGTAAAATCTCCCTGCAGATGTAGGCAATCCACTCCTCTTTCAAAGTGTTCCCTTTTGTGTTCTTGATCAGATCAGTGACAGAGCCAGCGCCACAGAACTCCATCACCAGCTGGCAAAAAGAACAAAAATGCAATCATTATAATTAAATGAAAAGCATCCCTGGCTTGCAATAACCCAGTGGAACACACTGCAGTTGGCAGCGGAAAGAGAAAAGCAATCATTAAATAATGGCAAAGCCTTCCCAATTTCAAGTTCCCTTGGCTAGAGAGGTTTGAAAGGCCAAAAGAAGACAAAGGAATTGTCAGAACCGCCTTTGTGAGAAAAAGGACATTGAACAACTTGCATAACTTCTACGGCAGTTTCTCGGCTGGGATGCACTGTGCAATATCTGTCTCCATCATCCCCTGAAATAGCTTTGAGAAATAGATAATAAATATTCTCATTTGGTTAAACCAAAATGGTGCTTTGGTTTTAGTGTTGCACTGGGATTCCAAAATTGAAAACCCTATTCAGCCATGGAAATGCACTGGATGGCCTTGGTCAAGTCACACCCTCTGAGGAAGGAAATGGAAAACATCTTCTGAAGGAATCTTGCCATGAAACTCCTAGGATAGGGTCACCATAAGTCAGAATTAGCCTTAAGACACATAACAATGTTCCCATTTAACAGATCAGAAATTTAATTGGGGAAATAAGTCTCCCAGGCAGTTAATGGCACAGAACAGATTTCGGTAAATGTCTCTTAGGTTTAAAGCATGTGTCAGGAGCAACTTGAGAAACTGCAAGTCGCTTCCGGTGTGAGAGAATTGGCCGTCTGAAAGGATGTTTCCCAGGGGACACCCAGATGATTGATGTTTTACCATCCTTGTGAGAGGCTTTTCTCATGTCCCTGCATGGGGAGCTGGAGCTGACAGAGGGAGTTCAACCAGCTCTCCCCAGATTTGAACTGCTGATCTGTCAGTGAGCAGTCTTGCCAGCACAAGAGTGTGTCCCATTGTGCCATTGGGGACTCCTAGTGTTTCTGCTTAAGTTTTTGAAGCTAATAAAACTCAAAAGCTTATACAGAATATTAAAAAAGAAAGAGGTACAATATACAAATGAACAAAGCACAGGCCAAACACATTTTCATCAAGGCATGAGAATTTTGGGGAAGGTAGCTTTAACCATCTATATTTTCCTCATGCATAATCTACAGTTTGCCCCATTTCCACCTAATAGTAATGGGTATTGTATCCTTAAACCTCCCTTCTTTCATATTTTTTTCTTGTGAACCTTTAAGCCATTAGGTTCTTGTGGGTTTTTTCGGGCTATAGAGCCATGTTCTAGAGGCATTTCTCCTGACGTTTTGCCTGCATCTATGGCAAGCATCCTCAGAGGTAATGAGGTCTGTTGGGATTAGGACAATGGGTTTATATATCTGTGGAATGGCTGGGGTGGGGCAAGGAGCTCTTCCCTGCTGCAGTTAGGTGTGAATGTTTCAGCTGATCACCTTCATTAGCATTTGAAGGCCTGCCTGAGCCTGGGAAAATCTCTTGCTGGGAGGTGTTAATCTGTGCCTTTAAGCCATTTCTGATCTATTGCAACCCTGAGGTGGTGCTATCAAGGGGTTTTCTTGGCAAGATTTGTTCAGAAGAGGTTTGCCATTTTGTCTTCCTCTAAGACTGAATGTGACTTGCCCTGAGCTACCCAGTGGGCTACATGGTTGAGAGGGGATTTGTACCCTGGTCTTCAGTCATAGTCCAACACTCACACCACTGCCCCACATTGGCTCCTCTTTCATGTATATATAGGATTACAGTGGTACTTTGTACATACAAAAGTAGCCTTGCATTATTGAAGCTGTGAAGTGATAGAAGAATAAAATTGCCCGTTCAGGACATATTTTTCAGACAACTTGGTTAAAGGGCAATCTACTTTGAACACGATACAGACATAGCATCACAAAATGAATACAATAACAGAATAAAGGAACCCTTCTGTAGAAGCAAAGCACAACCCTCTTAATCTTATTGTCCAACTCCTTCAGCAATATTTCTGATTGTTCTCAAATTCATTTTGTTCTTCTAAGCTGTTCCTAAGGGAAGAGCTGCTCATGGCCAAATAGCGGATGGGTGCCAGTGTTACAAATGCTCTCACATCACTCTGGAAATCAATACACATTCAGCTCCTGTGGTTTAGACACACTGTTTGCTAACATTGCAGAAGTGATGGTCAGTGAGAGGAGCCTGGCAGTTTTCTAAACTTCAGAAAACCAGAACTTTTAAGTCTATTTCAGGGACGTAAAATTAACACTATTCCGCTTGATTTATATAGTACATGTCTTTTCAGTCTGTTTGGGATCAATTTGTTTACTTAGATGAGTGTTTCTCAACCTGTGGGTCAGGACCCCTGGGGGGGGGTCGCAAGGGGGGGTTTCAGAGGGGTTGCCAAAAACCATCAGAAAACACATATTTCTCATGGTCTTAGAAACCTCAACTGCAACTCCCAAATGACAAAATCAATCCCCTCCAACCCCACCAGTATTCAAATTTGGGCGTATCAGGTATTTGTGCCAAATTTGGTCCAGATCCCTAGTCATTTGAGTTCACAGTGCTCTACGGAGGTAGGTGAACTACAATTCCCCTAAATAACTCTCAATTCCTCCCAAATCCCTCCAGTATTTTTTGTTGGTAATGGGGGTTCTTTGTGAGAAGTTTGGCCCAAGTCTATCATTGGTGGGGTTTAAGGGACTCTTTGATTATAGGTGAATTATAAATCCCAGCAACTACAACTCCCAAATCACAAAATCAATCCCCCTCAACCCCACCAGTATTTAAGTATTGGGTATTTATGCCAAATTCGGTCCAGTGAATGAAAATACATCCTGCGTATCCGATATTTACATTGCAATTCATAACAGTAACAAAATTACAGTTATGAAGTAGCAATGAAAATAATATTATGGTTGGGAATCACCACAACATGAAGAACTGTATTAAAGGGGCGCAGCATTAGAAAGGTTGAGAAACACTGACTTAGATCCTGATCTTTCATTATTTTATTGTTCATGGTCCTCTGTTAACATAATGCCCAGGCAACACATCTCAGATATACCTGTATTTTATTAGTAGGAATGTTATACCTGTGGAAAGGAAGACATATTAGAAGAATATAAAGTAGACTTAAATCACAACTCAGAGTACCTTTCATTTACTTTAAAAAATATTCACAGGTCTTAGTATGGGCAAATGTTGAACCATTTATAGGAACAGCTGCTCACCTATAAAGACTTTCACAATTGGTTACGTTGACCTCGACCCATTAAAATGGTCATGGAAAACTGCTTTTTAAAAGCCATAAATGGTGAACTTAACTTAATCAGTACTTCCCAGCAGAGCATTAAACTAGGCTACAAAATCTAGCAAAGATGAAATAAAGTCCTGATTTTTTTGTGTCCAACACAACAGACAAGCTTTTTGTGTTGGAAGCATACCAGTATGAAAAGAATTAATACACAGGCAAGACACAATGCAGCATTGGCCTCTCTTTCTTGAGGCCAAAACAGACAGAGACAGTGCCTTTTTATGTACACACAGTTCATAATTAAAATGTGATGAAAAATGAAGAATGCATTCCCTGACACACGGCAGTCATGAAAAATTAAAGAGGTGGGGACCAAACATTATTAACAGTATCCAGTTCATCCATTAATTTGAAAGTTCATTTCGGAGATGCTACCAGCTTGCTCAATCCTCCATGGCAGCCTGCCCTTGATTTCTACTGACTCAAAATTAATTTTTAAACAATAGAGTGTGGCGGGCAAAGCACTCAACCAGGTATATTAGAACTCCCTGAATAACTGAAGTATCCCAGAAATTAAAGGAAAGCACAAGGGAGAATGCGGCATCACTTTGTCTTCTAGTACTCTTAAATACGTCTAGGAAAAAAATTCATCCTCAGCAAATTTTCTCATTGGAATTGGTGGTGGAATACCAATGCCACAGCTTGGAAGTGTTGTTGTTGTTCATTCGTTCAGTCGTCTCCGACTCTTCGTGACCTCATGGACCAGCCTACGCCAGAGCTCCCTGTCGGCCGTTACCACCCCCAGCTCCCTCAAGGTCAGTCCAGTCACTTCAAGGATGCCATCCATCCATCTTGCCCTTGGTCGGCCCCTCTTCCTTTTGCCTTCCACTTTCCCCAGCATAATTGTCTTCTCTAGGCTTTCCTGTCTCCTCATGATGTGGTGGTAGTGAGTTATTAATTACTCACAATAGAAGCAAGACTTTAATTCCAGGTCATCTTAGCAAAATCCTTCACAAGTATCAACTCCACCCTGAATTGTATATTATTCCCTTCCATTCATTTATCTGGAAGGTACTGGCTTACAATCAGTATTCATCTCTAAGCTTATGCAAGCAAGGTATTCAAGACCTGTGGCCAGAGTAATTTACTGATTAAAGACAACTGTCCATCGTTGCTTCAATATATTTATACAGCCAAACAAAAAAGGTGAGACAAGAAACCATGGTCATTTCAGAGCTTGCTGACACTGTCAACTCACTGTTAATGTTTCCACAAAATCAGGGGTTACTGTTCAGCCTCTGAGTTCACATTATTCTCCAAACAACTGACTGTCAAACGTACATAACAAACATACAATTTGTGAAAATAACTAACTGCCATCTTCCTTCCACAGTGGATCAAGGGCAAAGATCATACCCATTGCAAATGTATATATTTGCGATCCAAGATCTGCATATGTATTTTCGTCTCTCTCGACCCCTCTATCCTTTCATTATGTATCCACCAACCATAGCAAACCTAAATTGTGAGGGTTGCCATGGAAGCAAAGCAATCCACCTTTAGACAAGAAGGCAAGTGTCTTTTCTCCTCGGGGAATGGCTCTGTCACTACTATTCTCCAGCTATCCCTCCCTGCTCTCACCAGCCCCCAATCTCTCTCACTCTGCCTGAATACTATATCAATCTAGACCCTAAACACAACAGAGGAAGATATATCTTTTTAAAAAGCCATCATCATTGTACATGCAGGGCCAAGTCTTTCTGATGATCACTTCAATATATCCCAGACAGCAAGGACAGGTGACAAACGTCTAGGTGAGTGGCACCT